TATAATCAACAATGTTGTAAAGATTATGTAAGGTGTCAGATGGGCACTGATTTATTGGGGGGGGGAATCACTTCATAGATTATGTATAGATGCCTAACCACTGCACTGTACAACTGAAGCTGATGTAGAATAATATTGTATGTCAACTATAATTTTATATATATACATACATATAATCTCCACAGGAGGTGGAGTATAGCATAAGGGAGGTAGTCAATGGTATTGTAACAGTTATGTAATATTTCAGAGGGGTAGTAGCCTGGGGGAAAGGGGTTACCATTTGGTGAGGGGTGTAAATGTCTATTATATAGCTTTGTATACCTGAAACTAAAAAAAAAAAGGTATTCTAACTTCTTGGAACAAAACGTTTCTCCTTCCTTCCTTCCTTCCTTCCTTCCTTCTTTCCTTCCTTCCTTCCTTCCTTCCTTCCTTCTTTCCTTCCTTCCTCCTTCCTTCCTTCCTTCCTTCCTTCCTTCCATTTCCAGGAACTTGTATTTTTCAAATTTGATACTTTTTTATTATCATTCATTTTCTTTTTTTTTATTATTAGTTTTAGGTGTACAAAACAATTCATTTTCTATTTCAAACCTATAAAAAGCAAACGAAAAATTGTACAGTGACACGCATATCAGACCCAAACCTCATGCGCTTCCAGGTTTCCTCTGCGCGCTGCTTCCCAAGCCTCCAGCCGCTGGCTCTGCCTCAGTCTCCTACACAAGACCTTCCTCCAGCCCTCATGTCTCTGCTGCCTGGGCGAACCAGTCCCTTGACCTTGGCAAGTGGGGCGCTTCCCTTTGCCCGCTTTGTGTAGTCAGGCTGACTGGCAGCACCCTGGGGGTTCTGGCTCTTCTCTCGTCTTCTAGAGGCAGACCCACCTGCCCACTGTAGGGTGTGGGTCTGGTATTGAGTGGGCTCCTAGTAAATCCAGAAGATTCAATGCAACAGGCGGAGGGGAACTTGACCTGCCTCACGGTGAACTCTGTCTGACCTGGGAAACAGGAGATGGAAGAGAAGTGACACATTTACTCCCTGTCCTATCTTCCTCCCATGGACTAGTCCGAGGCACAGTTTGTCTTCGGTGAAAGTCTCGCGAAGCCCAGCTCGCCAGCTGGACTTGGCTGAGTGCAGCGGAGCCCGCGCCTGAGTGTACATGGACGCCGCCCTTCCAGGACCACCCGTGCTGCTCGGCTGCCCTAGGAAAGCATTGCCCGGGGCTATAGTCTGGAAGAACCCAGGCCAAGACAACACAGGCGGTGGCCAGGGAACAGGAAATAGTTCCTTTATTGCTATTATGCCTACTACGGAATATAAATTATTTGTGTTTGTGTAGCACTTTGCCTGAGCTCATTTTAAACTTAGCTTTCATGACATTTTTATATGCACGCAGTCATTTCATAATTTATACTCTTTAAACAAAATAATAAGAGTTTCTACCAGTTTCCTCACTGGTGAAACGCTGCTTAAATAATTGTTTTTCTTCCATATGCATATAAATAAAAGACGAATAAATGGACAATCATCTGGCCATGGATTTTTATTAATTTATAATACCTTGCCAAGGCTTCTGCTCCATTCATCTTTACTTTATGTAGGAGGGAGGCCCTTAGCTTGGTCATACTAAAAGCTTAAATTGGTATCTCCAGTTTATCTTTGCCAATAAAGTATGTAATCGTCTTAAGCCAATCTATTATTTTGATTTTTGACATTACATCTGCCTATAACTGTGCCCACATTTCTAGATTTAGATCCACCTAATTTTAATACATTTTGAATTGAACATTAAGTTCAAAACTGCAGGTAACTCAGATTACAATGTGCCATAACTTCATGTTTAGTGGTATTTTAAAAACATTATTGACTTTCCAGTTTCTGCTTATATGTTAATATGCTATTGTTCATGTTAGGAGCGTTACACTTTATGATACATAGTGGTATTAACCGGGTTCACAAAAAGGAAATTCTTTCTCGACATTCAAAGACCCATTTAGCAATGCTTAACACAGGAGGAGTGCACATCTGTCAAGTTCACAGATCTCTTGGAAGGAAAAAAACTGATTTTATGGTGTGTGGAGGGATTTGGGACACATTGTGAGTGTGTGGGAGGTGATGGGTGGGAAAGGCACATTCGTTTCTTTGCCAGTAACACACCACCGATGTGCTAACACATATAGGGTTCCTGGATCCCCGAAAACTTTTTCTCAACTGATGATATCCAAAACCCTTAAGAAGAAAATATGAACCCAATGATCTTCATCATGATGACTATTACATCCAGAACTAAATTGTTTAGCCACAATAATTTATGAACAGCTATGGAAACCAATGAACATTCTATAGAACTCCATAAAGAAATAAGGTAGATACTAAAACGAAGATGAAATTTCCCCTACAGTCTTGGACTAAAACAAATGCTTTATTTATTTATTCAGAAACAGTGTGTTCAGTGGTACGTTTTGCAGGTATTCATTTGATAGTCACTCCCAGAATCCCCCTTGTCACAGAAGCAGAATGTTGGCGAGCAATGGTGATAGTCATCAAAACTTTGGTAACTATCTGCTTCCCTGTTTCATTTCTGCTAGGTCATAAAGAAGAATCTCTTAGTTTTCAAACCATTCTGGGTATGATAGAAAAAAAGATTCAAAAAGAAAGCAGCCTTCTTATAAAAAGGTCTAGCTGTCCCACTAACCAGCGCTGTGACTTCAGCCAAGCCATTTAGCCAGCCAAGACTGCTCCATCTGAAATGTGATTGCTTTAATCTTAGTGTCACTGCTTATTGTTTCTGTACTGAGTTGTGACATTATAAAAACTTGTGATTTTGTGAACATGGGACTTTAAGGATTTGTTTAGCTACTATTCAATGCTTACATTAGCCACACAATGAAATATTATGACATGATTTTAGAGGATACGATAGGTTCAGACCTCACCCCCTTGAGAAATGTGTGCTATTAATATGTATGGCTATTAAAAGCCCCAGGTGCCATCCATGCACTTTTATCAAGGTCAAGATGCTGCTTTCCCAGCTTCTATCACAGATATTTCAGAGTACTGGGCAGAAATGTTATCATACAGTGAGGTCATCCTCTTCCCAACACAATAGATCATCATGACATAATTTGGGGGATGACTAACTGTCCAAGCTTTTTCCATGTTAAGTTTACGTGAATTCTATGTTTGGGTAAATGTAATAAATACATTTCTTAAAAAGTTGTCTTTTCCTATGTCTGTAGTAGATGAGGCACTAGCCACAGTGATCGCCACCCAAAGACCTTTCCAGCAATGGGGGCCATATTGGTAAATTCACCCAGAAAACTGGTGCCTAAGAAATAGGAACATTTCCCTAGGAAAGCAAGATAGTGATAAAATGTGTAATTTTCAGGCATGCTTTAACAATAAGGCAGAAAGTATTTTCATGACAGTATGACTTTTAAATGAGATTTTGTAGAGTTCAGAACAAAGCTCCCGCACATGAAAAATAATGACCCTCAGACCAAGGAGTAAGTGCCATTAAGCACATTTGGAGAATGTCAACCTGAACCATGAGATTCTAACTTTATTTCATGGAGTAGGATCAAGAGATGTTTCTAGGGTGGGTGTGGCGGAGGGGGAGAGATGGACTAAGACTGGAAGAAAAATGTCTGTTCAGTGTTGAAACAGACATATGGAGACATTATAATACCTGCTGTGAATGTTTCACTATTTGCATAATACAAAGTTTTAAAGGGATTTCATTTCTTGAGTTTGAGTCAGGCAGCCCGGAGTTTAATCAGAGAAGTAGAGAGAGCCCAAGTGTGTTTGAGATTCATGTGAGATTTTGTGGGGGAGTCAGTAACACCTGTAAAGAGAAGCCCCTCTTCCCTTTGAGGCCTTGGGAAGGGAACGATGAGGTGTCCTCCTCGGTCACCAAATGGTAGGACAGGCAGTGGGTGGGTTCTGGAGTGACCAGCTCTGCTCCTTCACTTTCCCTCCAACACTGATGCCCCGAGTCCCTTGAGGGAGGGGGCTCCCTCTCCCTAATTCGGTCTCTTTCCCTCTCTTTTTCCCTGAGCACTCTTTCACCTCCTAGGGCTCGAAAGCCAGCAGCAGTCAACCAAGAGAGTCTACAAGAGTCTGCAAAATCCAGGGGACCACTGGGAATTTCTCCGCTCACCTGTCACCTGTACTGTTGTTTCCTGTCAACTCTGACTTTGGCATTATACATTGATGACCCAAATCTCTCAGATGTTATGTCCTAAAAAATGATTTATTTCTCTCTGTTGTGTTCTTCCTCTGCAGTGTTTCCTGGCAAAGGGGGGCATGCTCTTTGATGTTTTATGTTTTAGGGAGCTGACCTGATTTATTTTATTCAGACTCCTCAGAATATAAGATCACCTCCCTGAGCAGGCTCAGAAATTCCCGGTGAGGCCCAATTGATTCTTTCTCCCCAATAAAAAGGATACCAAGTCTGCTCGCTTCAGCGGCACATATACTAAAAACAAATGATACCGAAAGACCAATGCAACATCTAGGTACTCCAGCGCTGATGTTGTGCTGATAAGTTGAAGAATGACAGGTGACACCCAGCACAGCCCTTGCACACAGCAGATGTCAATCAGCATTGAGAGGTTAATGTACGACTCACCAGGGTACACTTCTCTTTCATATTATCTCAGGAGACAGACCCCTGCTGTTATGGGGAAATGAATTTGCCTTGAGCTTTCTAAAATGAGAGCTGTGTAAAAAATGGAACAATTTGCAGACACTGATTTTTCTGTCATTCGCAGTTTTCAAGAAACCTGGATGACCCCAAAACAGGGAAATGACAGGGTGCGGTGGGTGGTTTAAAATGCCTGATAACTGTGATATTCCCTAATCATAAACTGAGCAAACTTGCTTAGGTATAAGGAAGTGGACGGTGTTGATGGCTCGGACAGTGTTGGATGGACTGGGCCCCCTTCACGTGAAATGCTCAACGTTTTACCATGCATCCCCGTTATAAGTGAAATGGAGAAAGGAGAGGGTGAGAAAGTTAAATAGTTTAATCAGAGCAGTTTTACAATTCTAAAATTAACAAGCAGACTTGTAATAAAAGAGCTCCAATGTTTGCAAAATGACCTTGCTTCCATTCTGAATCTGCCTTTTTATTTGTAAAGATCAGCATTACATGTAAAAGGACTCAGAATGGAGGAACTGATCTCATCATCCATGTTTTCCCCGATGCAACTGATGAAGTCCCTGAATGGATATTGCTTCAGCTTTGATATTAAAAAAATGGCCTGACAAGAAGTCCTTAACCAACAGCTGGTCACAGGTGGCCGAAAGAAAGAGAAAAACCCACGATGACGTCAAGTGTCAAGTTCATAATGCAACACGTTGTTGGTGGATGACACTGGCTCCAGCTAGACATTAAGCCCACGGCACTTTATACTATGAAGATAATCCTCATGGACGTTCTCTCGCGTGGATCAACTTGCAACTGAAGTTTTTCACTGTTCATTTAAACTTGCATAAGAACATGCAGTGAGTTATTTCTTTTGAAAGTGTGTGGTTGTTGTTTTTTTGCAGTCTGTTGTCATAGAAAGATTTCATAAAGTTGCAAGGTTGCATTGGAGCACGACTGAAACGAGGGCAGGAGCACATGGGGAGGGCGCGTGTGAGTTCAGCGGATGAGAAGAGCCCCTGGTCCTGAGACAGGCTACCCGTCTTTTTAAAAAGTGCACAAACAGCTTTTCTTACCCTCCCCCACCAAAGAAAAAGACTAAAGAAAACAAAAAAAAAACAAAAAACCTCACAAAATCAACCTGAGGAAAAAAAAAGTTGACATAAAGAAAATAAAGATGTTTTTTCATGCACGTATCTTCTGCATAGCTCAACCCACATATAGTAAGGCACTATTTCCCTTCGTCACTGGTGTCCACGCAATCTGTGAAGTGCTGCAGTGCTCTGGGACCCTCCGAGTTCCTTCCAGGATGGAGAAATGAAGAGGCCGATGCGTGTGTCTGCCGCTTCTCTGCAAATGTCCCGTTACTCCAGGCGTCTCAGAAGGACATCTGTCTGTTATGATCGAGTGTCCAGAATGGCTTTCTTTCCAGAGTTCCTATGTTGTCTGTGTATGAGTTTAGATTATTCTTCAGTCTTTATTCTCAAAGAAAATACACAAGGTGGGAGGAGAGCACAGGCAGGTCCTCAGAAACAGAGCTTCCCCGGTCCCAGAGAGCATGTGATGCTGGCAAGTCACAAATCAGCAGGATGTTTACAGGAGACAGAGTCAGAGAGAGAGAGAGAGACAAAGGTCAGAGAGGGAGAGAGTCAGAGAGAGGGAGAGACTGAGAGAGAGAAGAGGAGGGAGAGAGAGGAGAGAGAGAAAAGAGAGAGAGAGAGAGAATGTCTGGGTTTTTGGAGGTGATCTGGGTCTGCGTTAATTTAGCTGGTCTTCATACTGTTTCCGGAAACAGTCCCCGGCTGGGAAAAACTCCCAGCATCTCTCCTGGTACATCTTCCAGACATAAGATTCCTGTAAAAGTAAAGGAAATGTATTAAATCATGCTTTTCCCCAACATCTGTGTGTTCCCACAAAAGAAACATGTGTTGTTCTAAACATCACATGTGCATAATTGTGTAATTGCACATATACATGGATGTTATTGGAGAAGCCCACATTCATTTAAATAGTTCCTAAATATATACCAGACCTTCCTTACTTCTAGTAATAAACACACAAATAATCAATCTTCATTCTGACCATAATATAATAAGGATAAGAAACCTATTTGTGGTATAGGTTTCTGAGATTCTTTAAAAAATATTATTATTAATTGTATCCTTCAAATTCAAACCATTAACAATTGGAAGTAAATATTGTGGAGAGAGAATTTCAAGTAGCCTAAGAAAAACCTTAGACATTTAAGATAAAATTATTTTTAGCTGACCACAGTACTGTGGGTTGAAGTTATTTGAAATCATCTGCTATCTGATTAAGGAATCAAGGACATTCTAATGATCAAACCCCCAGCTCAGCATTTTCAGCTAATAAGAGTTTATGTTTTATGTGAACGTTTACTTTCTGCAAAGGTAATCTTTGCACACTCACCCAGGATAACAGGAATTTTATATTATAATAAGATGCCATAACTAATATCCAAAAGTAATTCCACACCTTCATGTGTGAAATGCACATATGGTGTTCTGACATGTAGGAATTCTCGTCCCATCATTTCTCTCAGGAGATGGTCACCATTTACCTACCTGTCCCGTGTGCTCTGTTTCATCTTTGTTTATGAGATACATCAGAAAAAACCTACAGAGACAGAGAGAGTCATCAGGACCACCCGGGTGGGAATCCCAGCATAAGCATACGCTCTGGTCCGGCTGCAGCCTAACTGTTCACGCTGGTGTCAGTCAGGAAATGGGGCAAAACTGTAGGGCACAGCATGCCATAGGGACCAAAAGCTAAACTTCCTTTTAAAATATGTTTCCAAATGTGTGCACAGATCAACTTACACCTTCTGTGAGCTGCTCTATGCTGGGTCAGGGCTAGGCCCAGCTGCATCTGTATTTACTCACAGGGCAGGAATTTTTATTCCCATTTGAGAAACCGAGGGTTAAAAACGTTCACTAACATGCTATTGTCACACAGCTGTGAATTCCAAGGCCCATCTCTTTTTTGGGGGGTGGGGGTGGGGGGAGTGCCTCCAATGCATCTCTTCTGCTTGATATTAAAACTGGGTCAGAAACTGACTAAGAATAATACTTTACCAAATTTCAGTTTACTCCCAAGTAAGCCAGATTTCCACGTATTAAAAAACAGAAGCCACTTTTAACTGTGTTTCCAATAATCCCTAAGAGATCTGTGGGTCCTCAGAAAAGAAGAATGGAGGGTCCTACATCTCTTGGAAGCAACTGGGGGATTCCTATTAAACAAGATACGAAACCAGATGTGCAGCCGAGGCTCCCTGTCTCCCTGAGTGGCTCAGCACGCATGCTGCTCATCCTCTTCACCTTCCGTGTCACCTTCTAGAAGGAATCGTCACAGGACGGGCTGCAGCTTCGCTTCCTAAGTCTACCTGCTCCTGAGGGAAAGGGAACCCCTCGCTGTGGGTCTTTCTCTCTGGGGTACATAGAGACTGAGCTCAGTCAGACAAAGAAAAGGAGGCCATCTCTCTCCTGTTCTCCAGCCTGCGAGGTGGGGCAGGGGTGTTGGGAGGGGCCGGAAGTCGGAGACAGGCACACTCACAGGTAATTGGCCAGGTTGTGTTCCTGCAAAGTGTGCGTTTCAAAGCCGTGGGGCACCGTGTCAAAGTAATCATTGCCTATGCCACAGATGAAGCACTTGGTCTAGAAGACAAAAGGAATATTAAAGTGTCAGAGTGCGGAAAGCAGAACAAAAGGAGAACACAAGTCCCCACTCAGGGGCAGCTGCAATTACTCAGTATATTAAAAGATCACCACAGAAGGCCGTGCCGAGCACGTGCGTGTCAATTTCCCTGTTGCCACACCGTATCTCGCTGTCGGCTTAAGTGACAGAGACGCCAGCAGCAAGTGACAGAGGCAGAAAGAAGAGCATGGATACGGCTGGCTGAAAAGTGATGTACTGGCCTTGTTTTCTCCAGCCTCAGTGAGAAGGGTCGGGCTTGGGGAACACGCTTATCCGTGACATTGATAAAAGTTATGTAGGCAGGATTGAACATGTCCGCCACTGACCATGCAAACTTGGCTCCCACCTGGATCAAGTCTGACGGCCAAGGGGGAAACGTACAGGTGACCTCCCATGGGGAGGGCCAAGCCAACACCAAGCCGCGAGGCAGTCGGGGGTCGGGCGTGTGTCAGGCACCGCACCAGGCACACAATTCACCGAAGGACATGTACGGTGGGGGACAACTTCCAACTCTAGGCACGAAGTGCCTGCTCTTTCTGTCGCCCTCGTCCTCCCAGCCTCTCTCCACGTGCCCTGGAGGCAGCACCTCGGTCCTGCCACATTGTGCAGGCCGGCTCCATGGAGCCTGAAGGGAAGCAGGCCTTTCCTTTATTATTAGAACTTCACACGCATCAACTCAAATTAATTCTAAGACTGTCAAGCTCGTGAGGCTCCAGCTGCTCATCTTCCTCGCAAATCAGAAGCTGTTAGTGGCGGCATGTTGATGACGGCCCAGCTTCTGGGGCCTCGAATCAAGATGATTAAGCGTCTGTAACATTCTCTCCGCCTCACTGGTCTGTACCGGCCGACACGTTCAGCCGCCAGGTCTTCACGCCACTCAGTGTCTCCTAACTAACCAGGTTCACACCTACCAGCTCCTCCTCTGGGTCACCTCTCAGTTACACTGTGTGTCACTGAGCCACTGTGTGTCACTGAGCCACCATCCTCTGGTGGCTCCCGCTAGAAACCTGGGGCTCACCCCTGCTTGTTCCAAACTCTTTGTCCTCTGCATCTGGCCGACCACTGGTTCTTTCCGGGCCAGGTCCAAAGTACTGCTTGAATCTGTCTGGTTCCTGCATCCTCGGGGCACTTGTTAGCAGAAGCCTCATAATCTCCGACCTAGAACATGCTGACAGGTGCTTCCCCGCCCCGGGTCTGGCCAGTTCCTAGTTCACGCCCCATATTTCAGACTGCAGTTATCTGCTAAGATCTAAGTCCAATCACCTCACTCCACCGTTTAAACCTTTTCTTGTTGCCCACAGCCCGTAAGTTCCACTGCAAACTTCTCAGATGAGTTCTTAGGCTCTGAATGAGCTCACAGGCCCTCACTCTCTCCAGCCCCATCACTAGGATGTAATTAATGCTTCATCCTGAACCACTTATGCTTCCAAGAACAAATCTGCAAAGCAAATTCCCTAAATAGGAGACGTGGTAAACAAACCTCAGGTGGTGACATTCTCTTAGATTCTAATGCGAATGGTGCCCCTGGAGATGTGCACCCTGGGGCTGGTGGGGCTGGTGGGACGGCAGGAGGGAGGTTGCCTAAACCGGCCTGCTCTCTCTCAGACACAAACCTCTGCAATCTTCAGGCCTCAGCTTGGGATCCCTTCTTTTTGGAGCTCCCCTGATCATCCAAGGGGAAGTCAGACACCAGCCCCAGAGGTCCCAGCAAAATCAGGGCTTCCTCCCATGAGGGCGCCCACGCTGCTCTGAAATCGCCTGTGTACTTATTTGTCAGTGAACTCCCCATTCTGAATGGATGGCCTCCTGTTCCTGATGGGTGCACAGTGCCATATGACCGCCTGCATATACCCAGGGCCCACACAGTCCCAGTCTTGTGCAAGGCTCAATTATGTGAATTGCCAGAATGTAAAACAGGCCGAGGGAGCCACACCTTCGTCCTTTCCCTCTTCCTCCCACATTCAGGATTCCTCGATAAAGAGAAGGGGGAAAATGTGTTTGGTCAACAACAAAAAGGCTGAGAAAGGAGCAGTGAGACTGACCTCCATGTCTTCTTTGACCTGTTCCTGTTGGTCTCTCAGTTCGCCAAAAGCATCGATAATTAAACCTAGTGTTAAGTAAAGACACAATTTTATCTTTATCAACCAGAGAATCAAAATGAAATTCATCACCCCTGGCTAACCCTTCCACGGAAGGGAAAATGCGCGGCCACCCTGGAAAAAACGCTCAGAACGTGGGAAAAATGAGCGCACACTTGACGCTCCTACAGGGCTGCGGCATTCTCTCTCTTTGGGGACAGGAATATGTGCAATTAGGGGCCTACACTCCCTAAAATGGGGCTAACAATGAGGTGACAAAGCAGGAAAAATCTTCAGTTAACTTGGCATGGAGACGGTATGAGAAAGAGCGGCTGAGATGTGTGGTTGTAAAGTACAGAAAATTTCACTAAGAGTCTCATGTATTAATGCTGGAAATCCAACATTACCATATTAACTGTGAGGAAAGTGCCTCCAATCATTTTTCCACAAACTCCTCATAAACTTTCCATCTGTCTGTTGTGGCAGCGAGAACCTAACAGCTGCTTCTCTCCTGGGACTCGCTGGCTGCACGTTTTCTTCCAACTGTCTTATGACTTTGCCCTCTTATGAAACACATTATTATTGTTACCCTCAATAGAGACATAAAAAATGGATCATGAATGCTTTAAGCCTGTTCATGCACTTTACCGAAAACAGTACCATTTTATGCCTGTACAACTTAGAGATAATATCACATTTATCGACATTTAATTTAAGCCAGGAAAAATGTGTAAGCAGAGAAAGACAACATGAGTGATTTTTCTGCCGGAGGAAAGCACCACACTCCGCGTTACCTTGGGTGAAAGGAAGGACTAACGGGTCGATATGGAACTGCGGTTGTGAGCAAGGGCTCTGGGTCCAGACCCCGGGGGTTTGGTTCCGGCCCTCACTCTGTCCAGCTATGCCCTTGGGCCAAGAGACTTAGACATGCTACTGCTTATTTTCATCAAATGCGAACACTACCACCATCTCACAGGGCTCATTCAATGTGCATCTTTTTTTTTTTTTTTAACTTTTCAACAACCCTATGGCTCTGAGATTTAATTAATCTCCATTTGATAGACCCAAAGAGGTTAACCAGCTCACCCACCCAAAGTTGTAAAGCTCGTCAGAGGCAGGGCTGGGAATCAAAGCCAGGTAAGCGCGCTTTCCATTGTGTTATGTGAAAGGAGGCCAAAGGGCCGTGGGTCCACCTTCCCCTAGACCCCAAGAGTCCCATGCTTCTTTGTTTTCCCCTCCACAGATTTCAAAAGAAGAACGTCTGAAAGGGAAAGCTCTATTTGGCTCTTCTAGAAAACACTCGACACTCTTACCCTCCCTTCAAGGTCAGGGGAACACAGGATGACTCGAACTCCCCGTCCTTACCTTGTATGATGGCCAAGAGGATGACAATTACAAAGAAGAAGAAGGTGATGTCGAAGATGATGCGATAGATCTCATACTCGTCACCGGCAGGGTCCTCGATTTCATCCCCAATGCCCCCTCCGGCACGAACCCCGACATACATGTGGAACATGTAGCACTGGGGAAAGAGAGACGCAGTCACTTCCTGCCCTCACTTCCTGCCCTCAAAGAGAGACACAGTCACTTCCTGCCCTCACTTCCCGTCCTCCTAGAGAGACGCAGTCACTTCCTGCCCTCACTTCCCATCCTCCTAGAGAGATGCAGTCACTTCCTGCCCTCATTTCCTGCCCTCATAGAGAGACACAGTCACTTCCTGCCCTCACTTCCCGGAGGGATGCTTCCATTTCCATTCCATGGCCTCAGGCTCTCTCTCCAGCTCCTGATCTTTACTCTGGGGCTCTGAGATTCTCTGCGTGCTCTGCTGCCTGTTTTTGTTTCAGCATCTGTCATTGTCATGCAGACTCTGCCCTCACAGTCTGGTCCATTAACAAATGCTGCCTCTGTCACACCTCGTGGAAAAGGAAAGCGCCTCACCAGCATCTGGCGTATGTTACCCCGCTAAGATCTCATTAAGATCCACAAATCTGTATTGAACTGCACTGCTCATTGTTTTTTTTTTTTTTTTGAGCATCACAGACCTAGAAAAGGGGACGCAAACACCTAATGTATAACACGATGGAGTCTTAGAAATTAAGGTAGAAAAATAAACAGCCTTCACACTCACACTCTCCTCACTTATCTTATGTGAATATGACACTGAAATATTTTTATACTCTAATATCTAGAATAAAGAAGAAAGACAGAGGGAAGAGCCAGGGAGGACACAGCAGCTCACTGTTTAAATCCTGAAACAATAAAGCATCCTACAATAAAGAGAGCACAAGTGCCCACCACAGAAAGGACGAGCTATGGGGCAGGGTCCCTCACCCCAGCACAGTTCACATTTGAAGCCCGAGGACGCTTTGTTGTGGGTTCTGTTCTGTGAACAAGGACTGAAAAGATATGAGGGGCCAGCTGTTCTCATGGAGACCTCACAGCCTCAACCCATAGACCTCACATTCTCAGATCACCTTAGAAAGCACCAACTGCTGACAAATGACAAAGAACAAGCAGCAAGGTGACACCCACACGTTCACAGTTCAACAGCTAATGTATCGATAGATGCGGAATATAAAATGTTTCCTGGGTCAGATGCCTGGAATTTAATGAGCAGAATTAACTAAAGCTTGTGTCACTCAGAAAAGAGGCCTGCCAGCTGGCATACAATGAGCCAGGAGCACCGCAAGGCCGCTCTGCCCTGTCCCCCGCCAGCTTCTCTGCTGGGTCACAGTCTCGTGCACAGGGGCCAGAAAGCCCTTCAGAGGCACAGATGAGACTGAACCTGACTATGCACCCGGGTCTCCTAGAGACGTGAACATTCAGCTTCCGGGGCCAGCTACTGAATCAGTCTCTGGAAGTAAAAGTTTGAAGGCAGCCACTATAGAAAACCCCTTGGGTCATGGCATTCATTTCTTAGAACTGTGTGTCTAAAAAGGTGCTTGAAACGGTTAACAGTGGATCTCTGGGAAGAGGAAATCTTATTTTCACGTATGCTCGTGCATACTGCTGTAACTGTTTTTGCCGTATGCATTTCTTATTAAGAAAATATTGGGGTTATGTTTTTTCTCTGAATCTATCCTCATACGTACGTAACTATGGCCATAGGAAATGGATAGCATCATCACTGCAACCGTACCCTCCATTTAATGAACTAACAGAAGCCATCCTTCCTGGCCTCACCATCCTCTGCTTTGCTTGTGATCCCCGTCTCAGGGCAAGGGACTCCATCTGGACAATCTACCGGGCTCTGGTCTGCCACCTCTCCATGTCTAATGCTGGCCCGCAGGTGCCCACACCGACACCCGTGGTGGGCCAGCAGGGTCACTGTGGTTCCCAGTCCAGGCCTGCTTGTTTGACACATACAGGATAAGACCACCCAGCTGGTTCCTCCTGCTCATTCCGGCTGACTGTCTGAAACTTTTGGGTTGTAATTTGCTTCCCACACAGAGTTCTGTAGGGAAGAGAACGTGTCGACTTGTTGCGTGAGCAGGATGTTGGTATTCTGACTCATGCATCCGACTCTTAGGAGCCTCGTTAATGTGAGTTTGTCCTCAAGAGAATGAATCACTGTTAGTTTCTAGACATGGAGAGTCAGAGACCAAGTCACCACAGCAAATGCCTCATCTTTTCAGATCTCTGGTCAGCCATCTCTCCTGGCTCACCTTCATTCTGTGACTGCCCTAAGAGTTTTGAGAAAGGGGTTCCACCATATTTCAGTAACAGACTGATGGCTATACTGCAAAGATGGGTAGAGTCTTGTGCATTTGGTTATCTGGGCTCAATAAGACACCAAATGTAAACAGAGAAAAATGCACAGTGCACCTGGGGGATTTTGATATTGATTTTCCCACCCTGTCCCTCCCTCCACGTCCTGGCTGTCTCCAGAGCCAGCAGGCAGAAGCCGCTGGGTGCAGTGTGAAGCAAGGCAACACCCACTAACATGGCTGCCAGGCTCTCAGCTGTCAGACTTTCATTCTGCCCCTGAAAATGGAAATGCTTTCATCCATCTTCCTTTTAATAGAATCTGCTTCAACCTGGATAATAAGAGCTGGAGGATAGAAAGAATTCCGCGGGACAAAAGATATGGGATCTGCGCAATAAGCAAAGGAGGTGGCTGGTGCTACAAAAATTGGGACTAGGCAGTTGTTAATTCCAAGGTGTACGCTCCTATGCCCCTCCCCCATCCACCTCCTACGAGGCTTTGTCCTGGGTTCACCGCTGTGCAGGCCGCCTTTAGGAAACTCGAGGGGGACCAGCTTCGGTGGATTGGTGAAGATCCTTATAAGATCTTTATCTCAGCAAACAAAAGGACAGCCAGAGGTAGGGAGACAGAGAGAGTGAGAGAGGGCGAGCTAGAGGGACAGGTCATTTGTTGGGAAGGTAGGATAAAATAAGCGATTTAGAACAATTACCTAAACAGCTTACCTCCCGAGAAATGTACACTCTATCTCAACCACCTGGAAAGCTTTTTCCAAAATACACAGGTCTGATCCCTTCCCTGCCGGTTTGGTTCCAGGGGTCTGGGGTGGATGTGTAAGAGCTGCCCTGGTGATTCCTCTGTGCATCTCAGGGTGAGGACCTACCCTTTTGAGATGAATGCCTCCGCCCGCCCCTTGTAGATTCTGAGTCAAGCTCCCTGGTCTCCAGCTACAATCAGCTTTTGCCCTGGGCTTTAGAACTTTAGATCATTTTTCACTTTCTCCTCCTAAATTCTTGCATAAGAGCTTCAAATTCCATCAGGATACTGCTGGTTTAATTAGATTCCCAGGCTCAAAACACCAAAATCCTAAATAAGCAAGTAAAAAAGAAAGAAATGCAAATGTGAATCCCGGGTCTGTATAGCTGCAGCCACAGCGCCACCTGCTGTAAGTTCTGGGGCACTGCAGGGTGAATCAGGTCCCTGTGAAAACCTGCACCATCCCCTTCAGACCCCAAGAAACAACCTGAAACAACAGGCAACGGGAACTCAGGGTGATGTGGAGACAAGGTGACGCGAGGGAGGAAAGCCTGTCTCAGTGTGAACGCAATGAAGACTTCACCCTGTGCAAGGGAATGTGAGGGAGACCAGCACAAAGCAAGGATTCTCTCTGACGAACTCAATTCAATTACAGGTGCTACTGCCGGTGGTGCTGCTGTCCTGCTGGCCGCTTGCTCTCACCTGCCTCTAACTTCCTGAGCGCGACAGTAAGTGATTGAGTGATCGGTGACATTTTAATCGTGGCTGGCCTTTCAAGCCCTCGCTGCACAAGTGTTGATAAGAGGCAAACTGAACAAGGTTTTTAGACCTAACACTGCAAGGTTCGTCCAGAGTCAATGCGACTCCTGACACGGGGGTTTTCAGGACAATCAGCTGGATGGGCCTGTCTGGTCCATGACCGGCAGCAGTGAGGAGCCTGAGCTGAGAGGCCGCTGGTGTCCTGGAGCTGACTTTTCTCTCGAAAGAAAGCAGCAGCTAAGCTGTGCACGGACGGTGCCTCCAGCCTCACCCAGCCAAAGGCCGCACAGCACGTTTTCCTGTTATGGAGAGGTGTGAGCACCCACACAGAGCTCAGCGGGGGCGCTCCCACCCACAAGGACAGAAACTCCTCAGGCGGAACAAACTCCAGGCCTTTCTCGGTCCTGAGCCCACGGGTGGAAACACCCAGGGGCCTTCTTTCCTCCTCCTGATGTGAGCATCCTCTCCCCTTCTCTCCACACCTCCCGTGGAGTTGGGTAAAATGAACCAGGGGACAACAGCCGCCTTCCTAGCCCACCTCTTGTTCAAATGATGCAGCTTCTTCAAATGAACGGAAGCAGTGGGAATTCCCAGGAGAGCAGGATTCCCACGTGGTAATCTCTGTTGCCACGAGGCCAATGTGAACAGGGTCAGCCATGACCCCTGATGTGAGGAGACCAGGACACTTGCAGGGCCTTCCTGCGGCAGGAGGTGGGGGAGGGTCTAAGGTCGCGTACCGTCCCCACATCTAACACAGGCACTGACTTTCACTACCTGAAGTCACCCTTATGTCCACCAGTCCTGAGAAAGTCCTTGAGCACCACACCCTCTGGGACTGAGAGACCACAGCACAGCTTCCTGACCTGAGGCTGATGGATTTTGAGATTTAGAATCATCGGGTGTTTCTCCTCGAAGGGAAACGAATCTCCCCAGAGTCACTGTAGGCAAACGGCCTGAGGTCAGTATTAACTGACCCTCCTTTGGCCCCGTCGCCGCCCCCAGCCTCTGCTCTGCTCCCTGGCCCTGGGCAGCTAGTACCCCACATCTTCAGGGTCACGGCACAGACAGGAAGGTGGATATTAAAGGCAGCTCACAGGAGGGAGATGAAGGCTCTCTAAGGTCTCTCCTTACGCGGCCTGGAACAGATGGGGATGTGGGATGCAGGAGGGGTGTAGTGTCACATGTTAGTGACTCCGGTGGAGGTCACTGCTAGCCACCAGTCAGTCTCTTATTGCAGAAGTTCTCTCTCTCCTTGATCTGTGGTCCTACTCCCTATAGGAACCCTTGTTAGCCGTCCCTTCTGTTTCCTTCCAGATATGCGGTTCTAGCATATCTAATATATACATTCTAGCATGTTGGAGTGTGTGTGTGATCTTCCTCTTATACAATTAGGATTCTATCACAACACTGTTCAGGGTCTTGCTCCTCCACCCCTCCCCCCCCAAAACACACACTTAAATGTAATTTGTGTGTCCTTCCTTACCAGCATGTACAGATTTGTCTTAAATATTGGGTTGTCAGAAAAATCATGACATATTTTTTTCTATGTTTTTCATTGCAAAAATATGTCATGACTTTTCCAACAACCGAACACATTTCCATTATATAGATTTACCATGACTGATTCATCAATCAGCACTCTATTGATGATAATTTAGGTTGTTTCCAATTTGTGATAGCAGTGGCCTATTGGTGAAAAAACATTTAGATTTTACTAGCAGTGGCACTTACAGGCCAAAGGGTAGGTACACTTACAAATTTGACAGATATTGCAAAATTTCTCTAAAATTGTGTTAATTGAAATTCCCAACAAGCGTTCATGAAAGTGCCAGTTTTTCCATCAATTCAACAAGTCTGGGCATTAACAACCTTTGATATTTTGCAAACCTGACAGGTGAAAGGTGGCAACTGATTGTTTTGATTCATTTCTCTAATTGTGAGAGAGGCTAAGCATTCTTCCATATTTAGAAGCCAGCTGAATTTGTTTACTGCGGATTGTCTACTCATATAATTTGCTCATTTTTCCTACTTGCTCGTTTATTTCTTCTTACTGATGTGATGAGGATTCTGTTAATTAAGGATACTGGCCCTCTGGTATAGTGTCAAATATATTTTTCTCCATTCATCATTTGTTTTTAAGACTGCTTATAGTTGTTTCTTTTGAATGTAACTATTTATGCTTTCATGGATCCTAAGCTTTTATGTCATGCTCAGAAATACCTTTCTCCATCTAAAAATTGTTATTAGTTCAAATGTCAAATTCTGTTCTAACATTTTTTTTTGGCATTGAAATATTTGTTCCACAGAATTTATTTGTATTTAAAGAACTAGGTTGATATCCATTTTTGGCCACTTTCCCCAAGTGGGGTGTCCATGGTACCATTCCCATTTATTGAATTATTTTTCATTCCATGATTTCAAAAGCCATTTTTATCATATTTTTAATTTCTACTTGCATCTGAATCTATTTCTGGGCTCTAATCTGTTCCATTGATTTGTCATTCTCTAGTACAAAAGCTGTCTTAATTACTAGTCTTTACAGTATTAATCGTTCTCATTACTCTTTGGGGACATTTATTTTTTCTAGAGTAATTTTAGTATAAATGATGTCTCAATTATTTACTTTACCACCAACCCCAATTATGTAGGCATCTCAATTTGGAGCTCAGTGAGGGAGTCGTCTTTCCAGCGGAGTTCCTGACTTGATTTAATTTCCCTTCCCTATCTAAGGTCTCAGGTATGGTCATTTCTGATTGGCCTGTATCAGACAGGCAGGTTAGAGAACAGTGATAAGGCAATATGAAACCTTTAACATCTGCTGATTTTAAAACCGAGACTAGGGAGGTTTGAAACAACTACTTGACTTGGAGTCAGGGCAACCAGTTGGCTCAGTTGGTTAGAGCTCAGTGCTCATAACACCAAGGTTGCCAGTTCAATCCCCACGTGGGCCACTGAGCTGCGCCCTCCACAACTAGATTGAAACAACTACTTGACTTGGAGCTGATGGGTCCTGGAAAAACACACTGCTCCCCAATAAAAAAAAATAAACTAATAAAAAAAAAAGATATATTTTGGACTTAGCTTCAGTGAAAGTCACTAAGGTGAATAAATAACAAGGCTTCAAAATGTTCCCCAGGGAGATGATGTTCCCTGCCACCCTGGAACGTATGCACGACAGGCTGGGGTTCGCATGAATCCTTCCAGCTCTCCCTGCGTTACTCAGGAATTCTGCTCAGGTCCAGGTGCCACAGGTGTGCAGAGTCAGCAGAAAAGGGTACACACTCACCGTTAGCATATCATCACATTTCATATCTGGCGTATCACCGTCTTCACTTTTATTGTAGAATTTTCGGAAAAAGTTGAATGCCACGACAGTATATAGGTATACGACAACGGCTAATAAGCCGACTGTTAGTACCAGCTGGAAAGCAACGTGACATTGAACATGCATTAGAAATATGAGACATGTGACAATGGTGTGCACTCTAAGGGTACAAACCTGGATTGACTGACATGAAGCTAACAGGATCCATGCCTCATACACCTTCCTTCCCACCCAGTGGGGAAATTTGTTTTTATATTCTCTTCATTTTATCAAGTTGTCAGACTATTTTACTCAAAACTTGACTAATTGGCTAGCGAGTGCCTACCATAGCTAGAATATAAATATAAACTCTGATTTAATTTCATATCCAAATTGATATTAATAATATTAATAAGCAGCTTAAAACATTCATTTTTGTATCATGTAAATACTCGGCACTAGATACTACATTAAGGTCTTTCTTTTTATAAGGTCTATTCCCTTTAAATTATTTACATTCCTAATTAAATCTCATTTTAATGGTAACAACTATATATAGTTCCAGGTGTATACTAGACTAGTCAGGAAGATTCACTTCATAAATTATATAAATAGCTAACTACTATTGTACACCTCAAACTAATATAAAATCATACTAAATGTCAACTATAATTGAAAAATTAAAAAATGGGGGGTGGGAGGAGAAAGCTGAAGGGGAATAAGAGATCCAAATTTCCAGGTATAAAACAAATAAGTCATGGGGATGTAATGTAAAGCATAGGGAATATAGTCAATAATATTGTGATAGCGTGGTACAGTGTCAGGTGGTTGCTGGACTTCTCATGGTGATCACTTCTTTAGGTATATAAATAAATAACTATGGTTTATATCTGAAACTAATATATTATTGTATGTTAGCTATATTTTAATAAAAATCTTTTAAAAATAATTTAAAAATTGTATCATTTTTGTTATGATAGTAAGATGGGTTGTAAGTAATTTTTTCTTTCAATTACATTTCTAAACTAAATAAGAATTTGTATTGCTTTTGCCATCTGGGTATACACAACTGTCAATAATGTGTAATATAAATGTTTTAAAATAAAACTGTGCTTTGTTAACATAAAGTGCAAGACACTTTAGCAGCTGATAACCAGCACTATGTGAAGGCTAATTTTTTCAATGTATAATTGTTACAGTTTAAAAGGTCTTCTTTCAGCTCTATGTAATCTTTCTTTAATTCCAAACTATACCTTTATAGAATGTATGTTTAAAATGTGACTTTCACCAAGTTGGTGAGAATATTTTTCTAGTTCTATCACAAAAATTACAAATACACTATTTTTTATGTCACTTCTTTCGATAACAACACAACCCTTTGTTCTTGATGGTGTCAGCATATATTAAGTCTTTTACAGATTGCTTTATAATTATCCTGAGAATTATAAACAGAGGGCTTAATTCACTTCTATAAATTAAGTACAAAGCCACTGTAAATTTCCACATGATTACTTTTAAGGACTATTAAGTTCTACATATTTCTGCAAATGAAAAACTGATACTTCAAAAGTAAAGGAATAATCACAACAGTTTAAAAATTAATAAAAGTAGCTCCAGATATATTGTGAAACACACAATAGGTTCAGCATCTCAGTTCTCTAAATATATTAGGATCTCAAAACCAATTTGCTGACTGACTGATGAATCAACATCATACGCTTTTTGTCACTGGACTCAAGATGGGCCACACACATCAAATTCGGGTTCAGACACTCAACTGACAAATATAAGAACAATGCTGACATTTCGAAAACGAAAGATCATGATAATGTGAATTTACTGTGGACACAGTTCAAGGTGTTTGGAGGGGCACTGACTGAAAAATATACTGGATTATGAGATTCTGGAAAAGAAGGACTCTGTTTATCTAAATAACTAACATAGCATGTGTCACCTCCCAGTGGACACTTGATAGAGAATGAATCAATAAATGCATGCTTCTCAAGTGCGTTTATTAATAATAAAAGTTTTAACACTGCACTTGGGTTCCATTAAAACATAAATTGATTATCTGGAACTCAGCCAGTTTTCCTCCAAGTAAGTATGACCTTGTCAAGCATGAAATATTATTATTCTTTTTGTTCAATTTAAAAGTGGAGAAAAGGTCCCATGAGTAATCCAGTTTTGAAATATTATGTTAAATTAGGAATAGGGCACTTCATGTTTCTTACTAACACGAGTGTGTCAGGACGCTGCAACACATTTGGCTCCCCAGCGTCATGTGGAGCAAGCAAACACACTGGGACAAAATGACAAGTGTTCTCCTGAGTGCTGGATGTGCCCGGGCCTGTGCTAAGCCCTCCATGTTCACAAAAACTCCATAAGGGAGGTACTCTTCCTGTATTCATTTTACAAAACAGGGAGATGAGATCTAAAAACATTAAATAATTTATCCAAAGTCACCTAGACTTGAATGCAGATCAAGGGGCTTCTCAAACTACTAATCTTCATGGTTTATAAAAGTGCAGCTGCTCCGTTCAAAAAAAATCTTTAAAACTGTACATTGTCATCTGAGATCTGGCTTTATGTTTGTTGGTCTATGTGTTGCCTTTTCAGCGTTTGTGGGAGGAGAAAAAGGTAAACGCTTACCTGCTTGCCATTGTGAGTTACCGATGACAAGATGGTTCTCAACGTCTTGAACCCCATGGCAATGTCAAGAAGGTGAGCAGCAAAAAAGAAGTTGTTATAGTGTCCGAGAATGGACATGGTCATGTACCAGGCAAGGTAGAGGAAGGACTGTTGGGAAGAACCGGAAAAGGCATGTCAGAAAACAGAACACGTGACTATCGTGATGAGCTAGCCTGGCTTCATTCGATGGGAATCACCCCATTTACTTTATCTTCTTAGACTATAAACGTATAGAATTCAAATGGTATGACCAGGCCTCCTTTTTATTCAGGGGAGTTGCTTCCACTGTTAGAGAAGAAATTAGCTGCAAGACACGTTATTAACAGGTGACAGTTCTAGAACATACTTACAAGACATGGCTTTGGTTTTGCACTCTTAGGAGGGTTCTGGGCCCATGGCTCGGTGAGGTGGGGGTGGAGGCAGGAGAATCTGGGGTGTCAACAGTCCTTAGGGGAATGGAACTCATGTTTACTCTAAGTCAATGCTAAAATGAGAGTGAGATTTTGGGACTAAATGAGCTGTGTTGGGAGAAGTACAGAGGCAGAGCAGAGGACGGCCTGAGGGTCTGATCCTATTTCCGTGTGTGAGGGGGGTGGGAACTGGGATCCCACAGCAGAAATGCATAGTTGACCTATTTGGCTGAGCCTCATGGTTCAACAGCAACTTCCCAGACCAGCAAATGGGGGCATAAAGCAATTGATAGTAACAATTACTTAAACTGAAAAGTCTAAGAATCAAACGTGAAGCTATTGAGCAAGCCAGTAAAATGTGATGGTCTGCCCTTGGCAGCTGGTGACTTTTAGTAACAGGTGGTTTTTTTCATTATATTTGGATATGTACTTAGATCCTATGTTTATTTCATAGGCTCTTAGGTTCTTTGGTGAAAGAAGGATCGATCGAGAAAAAGAACACAATAATATATTTAATTTGGGGGAAACTAAAATTTATCACAATGAATGTTTTTAATTTTTTATGTATTTAGAACTTTCTTTTTAATGTCTACAAAACATTGATGTATGCCACTACCCAACTGAAACCTACAAGAAAATACACATCAATTTGCCTCTCAGTTTCTTTTTTCTTGTGTACATATATTTTCGTTTTAATCTTTCAACTACTGAAAGAAATGGAACAAAAGGTGGGCTCATTAATCCTATATTTCTGTGGGTCCTGCCCAGCTCTGGTCTGATTAACTGAATGGACTTTTGAATAACTCTCTTCAGTAACCATCTCTCCGCCTGCAGAAGCTAACACCCAGCCAATGAGCGTGCTGGTCCTCTGCGGAAGCGAAGCAGCTTACGTTGTCAGTGAAAACGACTCCGAGTTTCCACATCTGATACTTGACGTCAATGGAGTTCAGGCTGGAAAGACAAGGAGAAGCGTTTGTACAGTTTCCAGAGCCTGCTGCAGTCACTTCCCAGGGGTGAGCCCGGCACCGTCCCGGGAGATTCGTTCTAGCCCAGGTGCCACAGGCAGAACCGAGAGCTCGCGGGACCATGCATCCCAGAGTTTTGTGAGGCTTTTAAGAGGGATCTTGGAAAATAAAACTAAACATCACCACCTTCGTCTTCCTTTATTTAAGAAAAGTTCTTTCTTTTTCACTTTTTCCCTCCTCCATTAAATATAAGCTCAGCTCACTTAGAATGTGACAATTATTCCTGGGAACTGTACTAAATTCACCACCATCTGTGCATCCAGTTTCCTACTAACTTACATTATACATTGGTGGCTGTATTCCAACAGAATAATTTTCACTTCAACTAATAAAAATTTGCATAAACATCCACAGTAATTTTATAACTATACTGATTTTGCCAGTGAAAGGGCCTTTCCATTTTGTTTTTGTTTCCTTTTGTTTTCAGAAACCTTCCCTTCTGTACCCAAGAAGGAATGTATCCTCTCCCTGTCCTCATAGTTCTTTATGTGTGTGTCCGTCCGTATGTATTTCTCCCCAACGCCCAGCACATCATCTCATACACTCAGTGTTGAATAAGTACATGTGGAGTGAATAAATCTTAACATAAATATTCATGATCTTTGCAGATTAAAATGCACATAGATTAAAACATACCATTTCATTTTTTTAGAACTTGCCACTGATTTATGAGCTAGAAATGATAACTTTGCCAGCCTTTCCAATATTCCAGATAATTGCTATGACAGAATATGACATAATAAACGATAATATAATATTAGTATTGCTTTCAAATGGCCTTCTCTAGACTTACTGTTTTAGT